GAGGACTGACTTGAGAAAAAATTTACACAAAGCTGGTTAATTACCCAAGAAATTGTATTCACTTTGCTTTGCTTTCCTTTCCTAACTCAGCTTCATAAACAGATAAGGGAGAGGCAAAGATGAGAGCAGTTGGTTATCTGAGAGTTTGCTGTCCTACCTTTGATATCCAGTATTCACCCTCCCACTGCCGTATCCAAGGAAAATACTGATGTGAAACTCAACATTTAAAGTAGCTAAACTCTGAAGACACAGTGATGAAACAATTACATGCTGAAGAAAGTGCTGAAGTTTGGGTTTTTTTCACTTACACAGATGTTTATATCACTAGGAATCCTTCCTCCATGCTAATCAGAGGTAAGCTCTCAAGTAAAGGAACCAAGAATGATTCAGCACATTTCAAAAGGATTTCTACCCATTCTTAGAAGGACAAGCAGAGGAAACACCATCCAAGGTCTAAACAATGATATCTGCTTGCCCTTTGATCCGAGTTGAAGAACACTTTGTACAACTTTTTTTGTTGAAATACCACTGAATCTCACATTTACTATTTGAAATCTCTTTAGGAGACTATCTACTCCTTCTCTGAGCCACACAATTGCAACCAAATTCTCCAAACTATTTTTGCTGTGAATAGCTTGCAGGCACAGATTTCTTTTCTGCTAACAAAAATCTTCCTAAGTACAGGCAGCTTAAATGAAAAATAGGACCACTGATCGTGTGAGGAAAAGACAATACAGTGTATCTAGTTACAAATCCAAGTAGGGAGTATTCCATTTTTCTTCTAATTTATGTCTCCAGAGAGTAATTTTGTTCAGAAGATTGCCAGTATTTTCAGTACAATAAGTTTCTTGTTACTTGTACTAACACATGCTGATTCCTTTTTCTGACCATAGCTTGAGTTTTTTATTTCAATGTGTCCTAGCATCTGTAGATCAACACCTCATTAATTTAAAATAAATAAATGAAGCCTGAAATGCAGAGATTTAATGAGACCTTTGCACTACTCTCAAATGTAATGCGTATTACAAATTAATATACATATGGGTAACTAATAAAGAGGTATATTCATAAAGCATGATGATATACATCAGATATCATGAATCTCAATGTCCTAAATGTCTTCACTTACCTCAAATGTTTTACTTAATAAAAATCAGGTATACCACTTGTAAATGATCTAAATAAAACATCAGATATACCCTTCCAGATTAGTGAAATATGAATTGTAAATGAATGTGTCTACTTTAATTCATTCAATCTTGATTAAGCACCTTCTGTACGCTCAGCATTATGTTAGGAACTTAGGTTACAACAGTGGATAAGCCTGGCTGCTTTTCGAGGCTGACATCCTAGAGGGGTGACAAACAAATGAGTAAGCAAATTTTAAAAGAAAAAACAAAATACTCCTTGTGATAAGTGCAACCAAGGAAATAAACAGGGTGCAGTGATGGTACATAAGTGGGTGAGGGTGAGAGCAGTGCCAGTTTCTATGGAGTGGTTAGAGAAGGTTTCTTCTACAAAGGTGAATTTTAAGCTAAGACCTGAGCTATTTCAGGATATTTCTCCAAGGTCACCAAATAGGCAGGCTTGCTTATTAGGCTGCCAAGACACTTTTTAGCATTAGAAAACAAGTAGAAAATGGCATGTGCTGCCCACATTGAATGCAGGTTCACGAGTGCACCAAGCCTGCCTAGCGGGCAACTCTGCACACCGGCAGGTTAGGACAAAGGAGGTTAAACATCCCCAGACTACTCACCCAGAGAGGGTGTAAAACCGTCAACATAAACAACAGTGGGCCAGTCAAATGACCAGCCTTTGGGATATGCAAGAGAAATGTATCCTGTTGATTCATACTTCCTGATAACCACTCTGACTGACAAGGCTCAAAGCATTTTCAATGTATTTCATGAGTAAGTTACTCCCCAGGGAAGAAGGGATGTTTACAACTGTGTAACATATTTTCCCTTATTTCAGTTTGTAACTTACCTAACTCAGTAGATACAAGAATACTTTCAAACCCATGCTGTAACCTGTTTCTTTCTGTAGGTTCTTTAGAGTCATGTAAAGCAGTAGCTAACGTGCCACTGACACAGAGTAAGAAATCTGTGGAATTCTCCCAGCGTCCGTATTTAGAGAATCCACATTGCTAAGCAATTACTTCCTTCAAATGAACTGTCCTTATGCTCAGAGCTATGATAATCAGATTTTATCACATTTTTAGCCTCTCATTATGAAATCCCCCTTTCCTACTGCTAAATGGATTAAGATTAAACGGAACTGCTTGACTGGCAGGTGGCATAGCTTGTGACTTGGATTCTACTTACCTGGAAATGATTTTCTCCTCTAATCGCCCACGTGGAGTCCAAGATTGGACCTACAGATAGTTATAACTTGCAGTCAGAAAGCCCAGTGGTATGATAGGAGGGGCATGGGACAGAACTCCCTACCCAGCAATCTTTTTCCTTCCATCTCAGCCTGTCCCAGGCCTGAAATGACCCTACTGTTGAGTTCTCTTGGAATTTTTCAGTGCTGTTTTTTGAATCTTTACAAATCGTTCTGAAAAATGAAAATATCCCTAAGGAGATACTATGTTAAACCATCGCTTTAGCAGGATTCATTGACAACTAGCCTCAAGCAGTGCGACTCAGAAGCAGTGCCTATCTGTAGACCCGGAAAGGTCAGAAAAGCAAGGAGTGGGGAGAATTTGGAGGTCACTAAACACAGTAAATGTCACCATACTTTACTCAAGCTAATTCTCACAATTTCAAATACCAGTGGTTCCCAAACACCACTGGAATCACCTGGGGAATCTTTCAAAACGCTGATACCTGGCTTCCACCTCACACGTTAACTACTGATATGGGGTACCACCTGGACATCTAGACTTCAAAAGCCCCCAGGTAATTCTCATGTATAGCAATGTTTGGGAGCCACTGACATAGGAAGCATTGCTCTTAATTGCTTTCTGGGATGCTCTGATTTCCTTCAGACATCAGGATCTCCCACACCAGTGTTTCTTGACCATGGCAGCACATTAGAAAAACCTAAGGCAAAAAAAAAAAAAAAGCCAGAAACTCACCAGCTTAAGATTCTGACTTAACTGCTCTAAGGAGAAGCCCAGCATCTCTTACTTCTTTCCATGCCCCAGGTGATGCTAATGGTCAGTCAAGGTCGAGAACCATGTTGTAAAGCCTAGGGACTCTTTTCTGGAGACTATAATATGATCGTCCCTGGAGGAGCCAGAAGTGCCATTCTTCCCACTTTGTTCAGGTTGGGACTACCCCCAAAAGGCAATAACACATTTCCCCAAGGCTGTGGGGAAACTTGGGGGAGGGCGGCAATGGGTGGAATTTACTACGCCAGAAGCAGCAGAAATGTCAGAATAAGGAAAAGCACTGGTCCCCCTCCTCCCGCCCACGCTCCCCGCCCCCCAACTTTACTGACTAGCATGAGAATTTCCTTAGAATACTTCTTGGAGGTGGCTCAACCCTGGATTTTGTCCCAACACACTGTGACATTTCCTGTCCAATCAGAAACCCTGGCACTGCAAGAAGCAAGACTGGCCGGCCTGGAGACTCCACTCCCCGTGCCATGAGTCTCCCAGGAGGATTTCTGCACCACCTGGATGTCAATCGTCCTGCTCTATATCCTCCCGGACCCTGCCCCTCAGCCCCACTTCTCCTTCCTTCCCCCAACGCTCAGCGGAGTTGAGAATCATCTCCTAGACATACTTGTAAAAGGTTCGCTTCAAGTTTTTACATGGGAATCATTCAAGTAAATAATGTCCTTAAAAGACGGACGTCTTCGACGTGGCTTGGAGACGTGGGTGCTACTTTGGTAAGTATCTGCTAACCCATTTTGGGGCCCGGCCAGAGCCACGCGTCTCGCAGCGGAAAGGAAGTCCGCGGGGACCCACCCCACCGCGCTGCTGCGCCCACTTGGGGCGTGGCTACTGCGCCCCGTTTCCCCCCGCACAGAACGCGTCCCCTACATCGCTTTGTCTACGCTAAGCTGAGTCAGTTTATGAATGAAGAGTAGCACAGATCGGAGGCACTGACTCTGGAAAAAGTCTTCCTTACACCGTTCTCATTAACAGATGAGAAAACTCAAGGGGGTAAAGGCTCTGTGACTCCGTCCGGGTTTGCCACAGAACATTTGTGGCTGAGCCCGATTTAGCCGCCCTTGAATTTCCATTCTGTTGCCTGGCAACCGGTTCAGACCAGCTCAGGGCCCAACCCCGGCCCCCAACCCGCACCCTTTCCCTGCCCGTGCAGCTGGAGCCTCACTCATCAAAAGTTCGGCCTTCTGGGGCACTGGCCAAAGGCATGTGAGCGAAGGCACTGGGTGGGTGACCCCAACTGGGCTCGGGGTCGGGCCCCAAACCCGCGCAAGACCCTCCTGGCCGGGACTGGCGCGCCTTCCGCGGTCCTTTCGGGACCTCCTCCTGCATCCCTCCTCCCCCAATTCCGTGAATACCACTAAACGCAGTCATGTCAAGTTTCCAGAGTTCTCAGCTGCTCTCGGAGTCCCCAGAATCCCGGTGGGAAAACTGGCACTCAGAGCGTTAAGGATGCAGAACCAAAACAGGAGGAGAAAGTGCTGAAGAGCATTCTCCTTCCCAGCTGGCTCCACTCGGGCCGGACTTCGCTGCCACAGTCGGGCTGGCGTGGCCCGAGCCGGGCACCAACGCGAAAAGCGCGGACGGTGCTCCGGCCGCTCACGGAGACGCGGCAGCCAGCGCCGCTCTCGGGACCCAGCTTCCCAGCCCGCCCGCCGCCGCAGCGCTCAACCCCGGCGAGGGGAGCGCACGTGCCGCCCCCGGCCGCGCAGGTGGCGGGAGGGCAACCGGCCCGTCCCCGCGTCCCCGCCGCGCCAGCCCGGCTCCCCAGCGCCAGGGGCTCCTCCACCCTCTCACTCCCCCTCCCCGGGCCCGGGAGACTGGAAAGGGGGGGGGGGCGGGGGGCAATGATGCCGGTCGCTACGCTTCCCCAGATCCTCACCCAGGTTCACGAAGCTCATGACCATGTCGGCGTCGTTGAGGAAGGCGCTGTCCTGCGCGCTGGTCAGTGGAGACGCGCCGCCGCCGCCGCCGGGTCCGGGGGCCAGGACGCTCCTGCTGCCGAGGGCCGCCTGCCGGGGCTGGGACGAGCCGGCCCCTCCGCGCGGCCCGGGCTGCCGCCTCTCCTCGTCGGAAGCCCCGTCCTCGTCGTCGGCGGCGGACAGGGCGTTGTACAGGTCCAGCATGAAGAGGGGCGCGGACTTCAGCCGCCCGGGCGGGGGCTCACCGCGAGGCTGCTGCGGCGGCGGCGGGGGTGGCGGGAGCGCAGGGGGCTGCGGCTGCTGGAGGCCGTGCAGGGGCCGGGGCCGGTGCGGGAGGCCCAGCACGGCGAGGATCTCCTTCTGCATCTCCCGCTTCTCGTGCGTCTTGAGCCTCCGGTAGAGGAAGCCCGAGGAAGAGGTCTGCGGCGGCGACGGCTGCTCCGCGGGGCCGGGGCGCCCGCCGTCCCCCAGCAGCGCGCCCCCGGCGGCGGGCAGGGGCGGGGGCCCGCAGCAGCCGCAGAGCAATCCCCACCACCAGCACAGCCACGGCGCCCTCCGCCCCAGCATCCCCGCCGAGCCGGGCTGGCCCCGCGGGCCCCGCGAGGCGTGGAGCGGCGGAGCGAGGACGGAGCGCGGCCGCGGTGGCCCTTGGGCGTGAAGAGCCCCGCCACCTCTCGGCGGGCTCGCTTCCCCTTCCTGGCCCTCAGTCCGTATCTCTCATGTTCGTCTGGGGTGCCCGCAGTTGCCCAGGATGGAGGGGAGAAGGGGGCGATCCCCGGGAGGGCCGCTGGAGGGGCAGGGGGGGAGCCCCACGCTCCCGCGCAGGTCCCCGGAGGCGCAAGCTCCGGGCCAGGTGCGTCCGAGTCGGGGCCGCGCGGCAGCCGGCGCCCTGGCTCCTGGGCGGGTCACGGCGCAGTCTTCTCCGGGGTCTGGCTGCCTGCGCACGTGCGCTGCCTTGCGCCCTCCGGGGCGGCTGGACTGACGGCGGGGCCGCTCACCAGCTGGGGAGGATGCCCGGCATCATCCCCGCGCGCGCCTCTCCCCGGCTTGCACGGCCGCCGTGAAGTTTACCCCGCCGCAGGGCCCCGGCCGTGGCGGACTAGGCGTCCCAAGATGCCCACCTTCTCCGCGAGGCTTACACTTCCTTCTCCCTCTCACAAACTCCGCGCCCCCTCCGCCCTCGGGCACGGCACTGTCGCTCCCCCTCAAGATCTCGGCGCGCCGTTCCACTCCCCAAGCGGAGGCGGTGAGGCTCTTGCTTTCCGTTCCGTGCTCGTTCGGCTGCCCTGCAAACCCCGCTCGCAGAAGGGATGGGAGGGAAGCGGACCCGTGCGCGGAGCGGCGGCGTCGGCGCCGGAATTCGCAGGCTCCCGCCTCTCGGAGCCGCGCTCCCCGCAGCGGCCAACGTGGGCTTTCTGGTGCGCGTCTCGCTCAGGTACCTCACTCCAGCCCCCGGGTCTCCCCGCCCTCCTGGTAACGGACAGGCTGGCGGCCAATGAAGAGGCGCGTCTCGCCTGTATTTAAATAGGCCCGCCCCCTTCTTTCACCCTCCCTCTCCCGGGAGGCATCGCCTCCGCCGCGCGTAGGTTTCAAGTACAGAGAATTCTCGGAGGCACCCGAGGAGTGGCTAGGTGGCAAAGGCAAAGAGGTCACTGCTAGGAAGAATGATCTGATCAACACCCCGATGGGAACCTTTCCCTTTTACGATCCCATAAAAGGCCTAAATTGATGCCTTAACTAAATAAAAGTAAAATCAGCTGTTAAATCAATGCCACCTGAATCAATTGAAGAACTGAAAACCATCACTTTTTCCCATTCCTTCCTTAGTTTCTCTAATTGATGTAATACAGGCGTTGAGCGTGCACGTGGCTTCCAAAGGCAGCTGATGGAAGTTGGGACACACCCTCGGAGAAGCCGTTCCCAAACGCCACAGAGAGGGCCAAGCATAAGCGATACCCGTCGTCCTGAGACCTTGGGCTCTGAGTATTTTGATTTATTTCTTCATTTGGGCTTCGGCTTCCCTTCTTAAGCTAGCACCCAAAAGAAAGAGGGTGTAATCAGAGAGTGTAGTAAAAAATTACTGCTATTGCCTGTGGAACTCTCTAAGCCCTTTTCATTTGTTGGGCAAAACCCCATTTGAGAACATGAGTGAGTTAGCAACCACTGTTTATGCCCGTGAATGAGATCAAGAAGAGGCAAAAAAAAAAAAAAAAAAAAAAAAAAAAGCACCGCCCCCCTGCCCCCAGCTTCTTGGAAATGTTTCAGAGCTTCTCCAGTTTGTCTGTTAACGTTGCATTTTAATGTACCGAAAGACAATCGAATTTACATGATGCAAGATCAGTAAAACTTGAGGAGAGGTGGTAAAGGTGATTTCAGTAAGCGTAGGGTTTTGGCATGTCCCATTCAGGATCGCAGGCAGGGCCCTGAAACTCGGGTTGCTGGGAGCATTAGACAAGGTCAAGCATGTAAAACCCGTTATAATTTCATGGCCGGCTCACTTCTCAGTTACAGACACTGCCCCCTCCCCCAAACAACACCACCACCACCTGCCATTCAGCATGCACATTCATTTGCCCTTACCCTATCCAAGAAGGCCCAGTTATTGGTGGTTCCTGGAAAGAAGTTCTCTTAAAACGTTATGATCTTTTACCTGGTGAAAGTCTGTGTTGATGGGTAAGGGTCTTTACCTCCCACCATCCCACCATCCACTGGTTCACTCTTAGCTGTTGTTCTGTCTTGGCCCAGACACAGTGGTCTCTAGGACAGACTAATTTTACAAACGTCCCGTAGCCCTTGATCTCAGGCAAGACAACATCAGCCACACTGGAGGCCAATCTGTAACCACCTGCAGGGATTCTTTTCACCTGAAAAGAGGAGTGTACATCACTACGTGGTCTGGGATGCCAGGCCCCTTAGGATTAGCCTCCATCACTTCTTTCTTCTGTCCGGGACTTGTTACCACCATAAAATCATTGCAGTGCATAAAATGCCAGCAGCCAAGAGCTCTGATCAGAAGATCCGAAATTTCGGCAGGTATATGTGGGCTTCCTCCCAAGGGCCTCCTCCTTTCTCAAACCTAGTCACACCTTCTTAAGACTTCTAGTGAGACACAAGCAGAGTAAAAGCAGCTCCAGCCCATCAGGGCAGTGGGTAAAGTACTGGAAAGCTGTAAAAACCCTGAGCATAGGGCACCTAGGAAGGGCTATGCCATTTAAAACACAAAAGCTGACTGTGACCCATCTATTCCAGGTGCACCTATTATATATGCATAACTGACCCAGTGGAGAACACACACAGACACACCATCTTCCCCTATTCTTGGATACTTGGTAAGAGGTAGATGGACCTCTACGACATGGGTCTAAAATGGCCCTTAGTGATTTGTTATCAATTAACACCTGAGCAGCAACCCTGATTCAGGTCTGCCATGGGCTTCCCATCTCAACCAAGATGGACTCTCAGGCCCTGTTGCATGACAGAAGAAAAAGGGGGTGCCTCCTGATGACAAACACTAGAGCACACGACTCGCTTAAGAGCCAGAGGGGAAATATGTGACATGAGTTATGACAACGATCATAAAGATGGTGACATTCAACCGAGGACCACAGAAGAGGGCGTGCTCTCCTCACGTCCCCACCGCCCCCAACATGTGCACATATTTGTCAGAAAACACTCAGACATGACCTTGGATCCATTAGGGGCAAAGGACATAAAGAGATATGGTTCTGAAATTTTAATAACTTCAAAATTGGAACCACTGTTTCTTCAAGCCTACTGGAACACTGAGTAGATAAGGGACCCTAACCACGACCTCGCCCACCCCCTGCTTTTCTGACCACTCCCCATCTCCCACCCCAACAGTCCCCAGAAGTCCCGGGACAAGGGGTTGGGCAAAGTCCAGATGTGATTCAGGAGGGAGGGAGTGAGGGAGAGGAACAGGTCTGGCTCTGGAGTCTGCTGGGATGTGTGACCGGAGGGAAATCAGAGGGAACTTCGCCCCCTGCAGGACACCAAAATATCACCGCCCCTTGCTCTGTGTGCCTGGACAAGCTTCATTAAGTTCCCTGCATGGGCCTCCAAAACATCTGGGTGGAAAGAGGAGGAATTCGGTCAAGAAGCCGGATGTAGAAACCAATCTATATCAAACATCTGGTGGCTTGGCTGACATTTCATGCAGATGGCCTTCAGTTTTCTGGACAAGGTTGCCTGTCCCACTCCCACGCACAAAATGAGGGAGTGAGGAACCCTCACCGTAAAGTGAAGGACTACCCTGTGCCTTTGGTGATATGGGGATAGGGCGAAAATCCTGTACCCAGGTGTCCATCAATGCACAGGGTAATTCACACGACAAAGCCTTTAAAAGAGGAGTTACCCATGTTCCTTTCATATTATGAGGGTTTCTATTTTACATTTATGACACACTTGACCAAATAATTTCTGTTTTTAAAGGATGCTGTTTATTAATTTGATACATTAAATATTCTATACTCTATGCTTTCCTTTGAATTATCTTATTAGCAATAAACTGCAATTGCAGTCTTTGATTTTTATGCTAAATCATACCTGGGCCCCTTTCAACTGACTTTCCTAAAGATGTAAGTAGCTGCTTTTAGAATTAATTTAACGTGGCAGTATTTTAAGCTATGCTGCTCTTGTGTTTAAAAGCCTGAGGTCTGGTCACCTGGAATCCTTGGGCAACTCCACTTAAAACACCACATTTTTATCTTTAACGTTCATGTGAGGATTTGAGTATTTCCTAATATGAATTTCTCAATATAATAATTTGCTCCAACTTTCAAAATATCAATTTGGAGTTGCATGAAAAGGAAATATGGTAAGTAAATGTTTGCAGAGCACTGAGAAACGAAAATTTGAGAGTTAAATAAACATTTTGCTTCTAAAAGCTACACCTGTAAGGCAGCCTTCAAAATACATGTCTCATCCAAAAGTCTGTGGCAACACTTACATTCACTCACACTTTCCTTTCACTGTCAACTATTCAAAAATGCTGGGCATTCACACTTCAAAATATCATTCGAACCATCATATTTTCCTACTCATGAAGGACATCTGGTGGCAAAGTGAAAAACTAATACATAAATCTGTTTCCAGAGATTTTTTTCCACACTGTAACCCAAACGGCAAATCTGTTACTGATGTGTGCCTCAGACTATTCTCACCAGCCACAGAATCTTTAGAAACATCCAGAATACTCATTTTTGAAATTTTCATTGAATAACTGACATGGGCAGAGTAAACCCCCTTTTTTTTTTTTTTTTTTTTGTACTGAGTAAAACAGTGCTTAACATACTTCTATGACTAGCTCTACAATCCCTGAAGTTTTGTTCCAAGAAATCATTGGACATTTAGTTCCGATGGGCAGTGCCTGAGGCCTCTGAGCTCCACCCCGCCTGTGGTTCCCTCTGGATGTGTCCTGTCCTGGATGTGTCTCTTGTGTGTCAACTAGGAGGTCTCACGAAAATATGATATTATTGTTCTGCCAGTCCCCTTAACTAGCAGAGCTGTAACCAGGGGTGTAGCGGGCAGGAAAAACCACAGTGACTGGATAAAATCAGGTTAAAATGAAAATCAAGGCCATCTTTTAAAGAGGAAGACAAAGTCTGAGAAGATGCATACCAACGGGAAGGCAGATGTTGATACTAATCACCCAGTCTGTATTCATTCA